TTTTTTTTTTTTTTCAGAATACAGGTTTAAAAAAGCTCCTTCAAAATTGCCAACAGCCTCATGCTATCATCTAGAACCAGTTTTTTCCCTTTTCTCTTTTAATTCTAAAGAGCCTAATGTCCCATATCTAATACAATAACAAACTTCCTATGCCATTTAAGAATACTGCCTATGTACAAATAGGCAATCCTGAGCCTTTGTGACTTTAACAAAAACCTTTGTTGAAGGCCGCAAATGAGTTTGGTCAGAAGTGCTCACAAGGTCACAAAACTTTACTGCAGGCCAATCGGAGTTACTATAACTGTATGCAAGTGTTAACTCAAAGGGAATGAATTACACAAAATCTATTTAATATTTCATTATGGTCTTTTTTTTTTAAATGCACAAGAACGTGGCAACTTCCCAAAGGTGTTTACACATTTAAGATCCACTGTATATCTAATAAAGTCACCCCCATATAAGATCATAACTTCCAACGTGGAATAATAAAGCACGTATAGCAGTTAATAAATGATTACTTTGGAAAATATGCGAAATCCAATTACCCTCTAAATAAGGCCTTTAATATGATTAGACTGTAACTTCTTAATTAGACAAAGTCGGCACAAACGAGCACAGAAAGCCATTTTATTATTATTTTTTTTTTGCAATATTGTTGATATCATATAAAGCATTTTTTCTTTTATTTTCCAAAGCTGCAAGAAAAAACCCTTTCCTGCCTCTCAGGGTAAAAATAATACTTAACAGCTTAAAGCAGCTAAGCGAAGCCTCAGGTAAGGTCCTAATTCGGGTTTTCTAAAAAAAGAGCTCAAACATGAATGTTTAAAATCTTCACACTTATTACAGATACCAGGAAGTTTGGTTTATAGTATTTTGAACATTATAGTAATATTACTTTTATACTTTGAGAAGGATCCCAGATTAAGCTGAAAAAAATACAACTTCAGGGTATGATGACTCCACCCCCATGTTTTACTGTGAGCACAGTGTTTTTTTGAGGATGTGCTGTTTCTCTATCAAACAAAGACTTCGGATTTTTGATTCAAAGAACCAAGTTTTGTTTAATCAGAACCACAAAGCATCTCACAGGGTTTTGTAAAATGTTAGCTGGGTCTGGTTAAGTCCTTCAGAAGAAAAAGGCCTCCAATTCATATTCTGATCAGCAACCATTAAGTACTGATCAGAACATACCCACTGCTTGCTAAGAAGCATCCCTGACTATTTTTTGTTACTTTTTTGTCATGATTGAGCAAAATCCTTTTTTTTTTTGCCATTTACTCCAATTACTGAGATATTGAGTAATTTATGATATTAAATCATCCAGTAATGCATGATTCTTTATTAAAAGACTACTATTGTCTTTAAATGTGATTTATCCCTGAAAGTCTTTTCAACCATTTGAATGGGTCAAAAGCAGAAGTTTACAACAGAAAAGACAGGCTTTAATGGTTCACGAGAATTTACCTGGCAGACTGCTATTCATCTACAAGTCAATGAGAATATATTTGGAAAGAATTTGTGATCACTGACACATTTTCCAAGCTTCATTGAAAGCAGTGAAAGTCTTTGACAGATGCACACTCGGTGGAGCAGTGCCATGCGGGGAACTGTCTCATTTGATGCTGAACAATAGCTTGGATCCTGACACCATCCTGCAAATCAATGGCGAAAAAAAAACACAATGGCGAATGAAGAGGTGGAAAGAGACAAGTTCATATTGCTGTTAAACGAAAAATAATGGCTGACAAGAGCTAAGAGGGAAATGGAAACGAGGGTGAGACTGTGTTGGTGTTTCTGAATGCATGGTCCTCAGCACTTTTGCTGTCAGAAAAATACATCTTCATCAAAAGGATCTTGAGAACAAGCTTCAACCTGCAAGGTAGAAGTCCTCTTCAAAGACTGTGGAACACAGATATAGATGGTCATGTTTTCTTGTGTACACTTGGTTAAACAAAAATGCATAATTGCAACCCCCTTCTATCATAGACACACAAAGCTGCTGCCCTTTCTGCTCAGAAGTAATTTATTGGTAAGTATTCCTCTGTCTCTTCTCCCCATTTCTCCCTCTGGCCCTGAGATCATCAATCTCTTTTTGCACTCTTCTTATGTCAGCACTATACTTCCCTCCTTCCTGCTTCATTTTTCCTCTTTCTTCAAGGCTAGGCTGTCTTTCTCCCTTTGAAAAAAGTGTGCAATGCACTCTATAAAAAGACTAAACTAAAAGCCATGGGGAAAAAATGTCATTATCCAGATTGCATTCATCGAGCAAACTAGAAAAAAAAAGTATTTGGCTTAGTATAGATTTCTTTTTCTTTGCTTTTTTGTAAAACTATATTCATGTCCTCGATCACCAAAATTAAATTTTTAGAAAACATGCATCAATACAAAAAGTAAGTTTAAAAAGTAAATTAGTTGAAAGAGAAATAAGCTACAGAAAAATCTATTTAGCCCACTGTGTTGAGTCATGAATAGAAAGGGATCATCCATATTGTTTAGTTTTAATTTCTCTCGCTACTCTCAGGCCTTGATTACTGCCTCATCAGTATAATCGAGAATTTCCTTAAACATAGTCAGTTTTATAAAATGAAAGGTTAAAAGACCTGTAATGCATCATGCTGCAGTCACAATTTAAAGAACAGGTGAGAAACACAACCAGTGACATCCAACACTCTAGAAAGTCATTGCAAAGTCATCCTTAAAGGTTTGGGATCCCAGTGGACAACAATGAGAGTCATTATCCACAAAAGGAGAAAATGTGGAACAGTGGTTAAACATATCAGGAGGGTTCAGCTGGTAAAGAAATTACTCTAAAGGTGCACTAATGAATCATTTAAGCCATAAAGGAGGTAAGAAAAATACCTAGAAGAACAGAATGAAAATTTTTTTGCAGGCACTAACTGTCATACCGGTAGTTAAAGTCACTGTTCCCCAAAATATCCAAACGCTTGATGATCCCCAAGTTTGGGAAAATATTCTAGGGGTAAAGTGGAACCTTTAGGAAGTTGTGCATCTCATTACATACGGTAATAAACTAAAATAATGTTCAGGAGAGGAACATCATACCAGCAGTAAAACATGTTGGTGATAGTCTGACGATGTGCTGACTTGCTGCAATCAATGGACCCTTTATTTCTGCTATGTCGAAGAAATCTTGAAGGTGAGAGCATGACCATCAGTTTGATATGTAGATCTAACACATTTATATATTATATATATTCAGCTGCAAAACCACCCAAATCAAACCAAGGGGTCTTTTAATGGCTTAAAAATCAAGGAAATTTAAGGTTTCGGAGTTTGTCAAGTTGAACTTTCAACATGTGACTAAAATACATGGACTTAAAATTGACATTTATGTCTTAAAATCTCTACAGTGGCTGAATTGAAACAGCCTTTTCAAAAACGGCTTGGAAAAAACAATTTCTAAAGGCTTATTGCCAGATTTTTGCTTTATCCTAACATTTAACGGCAGTTAAAGCCACCAAGGGGGATATAGACAGCAAATTTAAATTATTGATTAAAAAAATCTTTGTCTGATAATAACATTTGTTTGATGATCTGAGACTTTTACCAGAACAGTAAAGAATAAATCTATAAGGAACCAATACATTTTGTAGGACTTAATATAAAGCAAAGGTGCTCCAGTCTTTGTGTGAATGAGCTTATGGAAAGAATATCATTATAGCTTAGGTACCTGCATTAATTAACTGCAAAATGATTAATGTCATACCTTTACTTTTTTTCTGATATCTCTTATTTTTCTCCTGGTTCTATCCAATCAAGCATAACCTAGCCCCTCATTTGCACTCCGTGCTTTTACCAGCCTTCATTGGGCTGCCTCAGCTGGCTTCTCTAGTTTCCATCCTCTGTGGCTACATTCCCTTGCCGCTGCTCTTCAGCTTAATTAAGGAGAATGCCATACAGCTGTCGTTCTTTTGGCCGATAGCATCCCTTTTTTCCCTCATCATATTGTTATTCATTAACACTACACGCCTGCCAATCAGACACACAGCCCACGTTATTTCCAGGGATGGGCGAGGCAGCACTTGTGATAATGACGTCGCTGCTTGTATCTCATTTTTGCAGAGGGGCACCAGCATGGATTCTTTCATGTTCAGCCTTCATGATTATAAGGGCCTTGCCCGCAGCGA